GTTCAATGTCGTCTAGAGGGGTTGGAAAATTAAACTTTATCAACGGAATTGTAAACAAAGAAAAATATTTAGACATTCTAGAGGACTCTTTGTTGCCTACTTTGGAATAGAGTAGGAATTCTGGAAATGACTTCACCTTTCAGCAAGACGGTGCTGCCTGTCACACGTCCAAAAAATCCATGAAATGGCTTTCAGATCATGAAATACCACTCCTAAAATGGGTTTCCTCTAGTCCGGACCTTTCGCCTATCGAGACTTTGTGGCATGAAATGAAAAAGCGGTTAAGAGCCAATCCTGCCAGAACTGTTCCAGAACTCAAGCACAGGCTCCAGAATATTTGGGATAATTTCACTCCAGCGCAGTGTCAGAATTTAGTAAATACTATGCCGAGAAGAATTGAAGCAGTTATTAAAAATAAAGGGGACGTTACTCAGTGGTAGAATAAGATATCTTAAAAAATCATAAATTTCCTTATTTCTAGTTTTTAAGTCCTAATCATTTCCAGTTAATGTAACTATTTTATTTTTTATGCAAAATGTTTTTAAAATGTTACTTTAAAAATAAAAGTGGACAATTTTACCTCTATAACTCAAATGACCTTCGATACACGGCAATAACTGATATTTAATCAGGTGGGCCAACTGAAGCTGGACGGGGCTCGTATATGCGCAGGACTTTAGGACGTGATAGCTCGTCCAAAAATATGAAAAAACGTTTCTATTAAAAAAGGTACTCTTGGTCATACGCTCTAAAGTCGACCGTTTTCGAGAAAAAAATTTTAATGTTGAAATACATGGCCAATTTTTGGAAATAAAACAAAATTTGGTTTTTCTCGAAAACGGTTGACTTTAGAGCGTATGACCGAGTACCTTTTTTGTGTAGAAAACATTGGCGGTTCAAATGGGCGTCTCAAAACCGTACTTTTTCTAGTGGCGTAGAAATTTTTTTTTCAATTTCTCGAAAATGAATAGAAACGTTTTTTCATATTTTTGGACGAGCTATCACGTCCTGAAGGCCTGCGCATATATTATGAAACACCCTGTATAAGGGGACAAAGCCTATTGAGTTTGAAAAAAATCTGAATAAAAATGAAGGGATTAAAAGGGGGTGAAATATTAAAAAAAATATAAAAAATCAAAAACTGAAAGTGATATTAACATGAAATTTTTCGTAAAAATCAATGGGAGATAAGGGGGGTTGAAATATTGAAAAAATCCTAACGATATTGAAATATTCAGGAAAAATCAAGATTTAGAACAGGATGAAGCCTATTTATTCTAAAAATCTGATTCAAAATAAGGGAAGGAGTTTGTTAAACTCTAAAGAATATAATATAGAATGCCAAGCATTATTCATTCTAGTTTATTTTTATATTTAAAAATCTATTAATATTATATTTTTTTCTATCTTTGGATGTAATATCTGTTTGGCTATAAAAAATTTAATTATTTATTTATACGAATATTATAACGCATTTCTATTCCTCTTAAATTCTTTCAGTATTTTGGAAACCTAAAACTTGTGCGAGCAAAGTAATCGTTAAATATAATCTACCCTACTTTCAAAGAAAATTCCCTTATATAATTTTACTAGCCAAACCTTAACTTCTTGATAAAAAAAAATTACTTCAAAGACAACAACTTCAAAATACCTGCTCCTTTTGCTCCCCCAGACAACTTCCGGGATCAGCTTAAAAATTCTCGACACGACTTCTGCGGGTCGTTCCATTTAATTTCGGTCCCAAACATCGCCTTCTAGATCGTTTTGCATCTAATTACGATGGAATTTAGCCATGAGCACTTTTTGGGGCATATCAGGGTAACGAAAGGACCTACACTGGGAGTAAAGACACGTGTGGTTATTAGGCAGTGGCGAAGCGTTACTTTTCCTAAAACTTTTAGAATAGAAAAAACTATAAAACGGGGTAAGTATTAGAGTCCATTTTATCATAGTTGACGACAGTCTCAGAAACCAAATTTTGACTTGATTACGTAGACGTTTGTCGATGTCGTTTGAAAGAGGCTATCTCTTTATTTTTCTTTGTAGAATATTTCCCATTTTGTTAGTTTTTTTTTTATACGAGTAAAGTTTGTTATTAAAACATTCATAGCCAAGAAAGACAAATTATAAAAAATGTCGGAACTTTTATGGAGGTGCTACCCGTAGCAGGTGCTACGTGAGCAAAATGGGGTTACTCTGAAATAACCCAAGGGGATATACTCCCAATTTTAAAATTACCTCGTTTTCTTTACCAGCAGCTAGCTCATGTGAGTGGGCCGTAGATTTTGACAAACGAGTCAGTATACTACCTATTCGGCCACCTTAGGTAAAGGTCAAAAATAAATTAATGAAGAGAAGAGTTAAATAATCTAAATCTGAGATCTGAGGTTATAATATGGATATCTGTTTAAAAGAATATCTTAAAATCTACAGCATAAATACCGGTTAAATAGATATATATTTCGTAGGTTCACAATGGTTTAAATATATATACAATTAAATAAAAAAAAGGTCATAAATATGTACAATTTCTACAGGATATTCCGAGCACTGAGGGTGAGATCGTTTTCAGTTCAGTTCTTTGATCAGCTCTAGTTGCAGTGACTCTCATAAGCTAAAATAGTTTTACCTTGGAGATGGTGAAATTGCTACATAACATACATATGCTAGGGGCTTATATCAAAGGCTTCTTCACGATGGTTTCATGTCGAAACAGCCTATCGGTCTCAATGGTAAGTCTACGTCCTACAATTCCTTACTCGAAGATAAGAATATCTTCTGTTTATTTTTAGGTATCTTCTATGGTTAAAGTTAAATGGTACATGGGAGCCTAAATGTATCCAAAAGAAGGTTCTTATACCAAAACTGTATCCAAAACATGGAATATTCCAACACCAGATTTCAAAATAAATGAAACGAATCCAAATAAAAAGTAGAAATGAATAGGAAAGAAAATAAAAAAAGCCTAAAATACTAGTTTAGTTACATCATAAAATATTAATAAAAGTAAATAAGGGATGAATGTGAGAGTAGGTTACCTAAAGTTGAAGTGTGGCCTTATTTGATGTCAATTTTACTGTTTTATTGTAAATAAAATTATCTTTCGAGTTTATTTGTTCTACCAACAAATAGAATAAGTATATATTTTCAATCAGTTCTTCTTTTCTAGCTAAATCCTTATTAAAAAGTCTTTCAGAAACACATGCTTCTAGAAGGTGTACCAGAAAAGAAATGATGACAGGATATGCATGAACAAATTAACAAAAATTACCTCCACAGGAAGTAATATTAAAACATGACAGGTAAATTAAAAATATCTATAGCCAATTTCTCACAATCACCAATCTAATTCCAAGAATTTCCAGATTATCTGGAGTTCTAATTATTTAATATCCAAATTATAAAACAGCTTCCTAAAGTGAATGCCATAATGTCATTATAAATGTAAATAAACAAAAGAAAATAAACCTGAAACTATTCATCTAATTCAAATCTTCTCTATTTTCTTTTAGACTTTTAGAACCTAACTACAAACTATTCGAGAAAGTATTGAAGAATATATAATACAGAAAACCAGAACGGATCTACATAGCACTGAAAAAGTATCGGACAAAAGGTTAAACTTCGTTTGCCATCAATTTGGCAATGTAATGATTAAGGTATATTTTTATTCTAGTTAACTCATAGAATTTGAGGAATGGACCTTCAACCATTTAAAGAAACTTCAACTCAAAGCTAGTATACCGAATGTTCTTTTAATAGATTTTATTAAAAATCATGAATTTGGTCTAATTAAAAAATAAAAGTCAATACTATTTTATTAGCCATGGTAAAAGCATCTCAGTATTTTATTTTGAATTTTGAACCGTAACAGAGGCCCAAGCTAAATATGGAATTGAAATTCCTTAAAACTATCATCGCTACGTTATATTAGATTTAAAAGGAGTTGCACATTATTTACCATGTCCACCGTGGCATTTAGTTCTATTGTGGGACTGCGTTTAGATGTATTTTTTATTAAACTAAGTAGATTTGACAGTGGGTCCCGCGTATTGTTATATGCTTCTCACCTAGAGTTCGGGGCCTGTTATTGCCTTATCTGAGCCTTCTCGGGCTAGCTCGTCGGCCTATTCATTGCCCTAATATATTTCGTGTCATGTGGTAATCAGTTGTCACTTAACCCTTGTCACTTGCATCCCACATCTTGTCGAAGGAACAGGTGGGATCATGAAGTAACAAATTATAAATGTTATTACATTTAATTTAGCACCAGGAATAAATTTCATACAAATGTGAATTATAACAATATTAACAATGGTCCAGACTATGGGAGAAACGTTAATGAAATATAATTGTGATTAACTAGAGATAACAGGTGATATAACCCATTACTTTTTCGCAAATCGAATTCCGACTTGGCTGTACCACGAACTATTGTTCCATAGAACAACGAAACACGAAATCGTCCACTTCAACGGAAACGGTCAACCGTCATCGTACTAGGTAACCCTAAAACCTCGAGTCATTTTAGATTAATCACACGAATATCAAAAACTGAGTAATTAGATCATACTGTCGAACTTGGGTCATATACAGTATCAGAATCAAACTAAAAGCCCCTTTTCACGGAGTAATTTTGTTGCAAGTTTCATGCTATACAAATTTGCTGAAAGAAATTTATAATTACTGCGCATGCCTACAGGCATGTTTGATGAAAGTTTCATGCCATAAAATAAATAGAACTTGCTCTATTCTTTTATAGTTTCCGTGCAAATTTGACGCATTTTTATAGTGATTTTTGATACACCAACCTGAAAAAAAGTTACCATTTCGTTTACTTTATTTCCTGTTTCATCTTCGCATCAACTGCTAATAGAATAGTTTTATTACAAATCAACGGCGAACAATATTACAAATTAAGTTACAGGCTTTGTTACTGTTTGCCAACAAAACCTAATAGGTAAGAAACTAATACTTGTGACTAATAGGTTAAGTTAAGTATGAAACTTACATATAATCAAGTAAAAACCAAAATTCACGGAGTTCCCCTTCAGTATATTGCTGAATTAAATAAAATTAAAAAATCTAAGTCAACAGGTGTATCTCCAGATGATTTGTACACTCCAAAGCTTTGGTGTTTTGAAATGCTGGGATTCCTTTCCGATTCGGCTGTTATTACCTCTAGAGGAGAATCTAATTTGAATTTGGAGGCAGTTCTTAAAGACTTCAAGGATGTATCCCAGGTTTATATAGAAGAGGAAGACACACAGCAAGATGAAGAAGATGAAATATGTTACCAAATATATGAAAAAGACGTAACTGAAATGGACTCAAAAATTATTTTGATCAGGATATCAGTGATGTTTCCGTTCCTTTTTCTCTTTCCTTATCGCGACCTTCCTGTTCTACATCCCGAACACCAGCTTTAGTGTTCCGTCCCTCATCCCAACAATCATTTTCAAAACACGATCTATACCTGAGTCCCAAAGAGCCAAATCTATTTTAAAGCATAAACATAAAGATGATAATATAATTTAAAAAAAGAAAGAGGAAGATAATAAAATTAAAAAAATAAAGAAAGAGGAAGATGATAAATTAAAAAATCTACTTAAGGTTACTGGACGAGTAATTGCGAGTCAAAGAAGAGTAGCTTCCGACACACAAAAACAATCAAAAGATCTTTTTTGCCAATTTGGCATCAGAAATGTCCAAGATTTGTAACCTACGAAATGAACTTGGTGATTCCACCAAATTTTTTAAACTTAAAAAAAAATTTATTAAAGTATTAACTACAATTAAAAATGTTGTCTACTACGGTTACACAAGTTTCGGTTGTTCCGGTGTCAACCTTCGGGCCTTCGACGTCGCTCAGACGGCAGCTAGGGGGTGGATAGCTTACAAAAATTCCGGAAATAGTAGACAAATAAATAGGCGCCAACTGGGTCTATATAGTGGCCAAACTATGATCCTATTTCCCCAAAAACCCAGTAAATGAGGAAAGAAATAAAAGACAAACCTCAACTTATGTTCCTTTATAAAGAAAAAAAAAAAATTTACTAAATATACAAACTAATTACCTAATGGCTTAGGTAATCCAAAAAAAAAAAATTGGAGGAAATTAAAGTGAAAATTTACACTGTATATGTATATGCATAACCCAAAATAAATTATTAAATCAAAATATGGCACGGTTCGGCGTTAGCTTGGTACCAGGCATGACGCATGCGCAAAATTTTAATTTCCACCTTACATAAAAAAAATAAAATATAAAATAATAGTTAACTTAAATATTGTGCATAACCGCACCTATACTACATCGTATATTATAAACTAAACAGTAAACTTGAAATCCTTATGAGCTTATAACCCTCTCCAAATTGGAAGGCGATATCTGCTTAACTTTTAGTTAAGACCAAACTACCCAAAAGAAAATTATTAAACCATGAAATTTTATAATTAAGTATAACTCATAGAACTAAATAAAAATATCAAAAAAAGAAAATAAAAATACAACATATAAAGGACTTTCGACACAGAGGTTATTTAATTAAACTCCCAGGTTGGAAGAGGTTACTTAATCTCTGCCCCCACACGGGTCTTCTGAGATTGCTTAACTTACAGTTAAGTCTTATCATGAAAGGAATAAATAAAATATAAAAATGAAGGTTAAATTTGACTGTAGCTCTTAATAACTGAAGGTTTACAACTTAAGCGTAGAAGCAGCCCAGATGTTCTGCAACTAGAAGAATCACTACTCCAGCATTAAGTACTTATTTAAATAAAAATAATAATAATAAATGAAAGATACACAAAGGACTTCAGACACAGAGGTTATTTACTTAAACTCCCTGGTTGGAAGAGGTTACTTAATCTCTGCCCCCACACGGGTCTTCTGAGATTGCTTAACTTAATCGTTAAGTCTGGACCATTTAATAATGAATAAATTAAAAAAAGTAAAATTATGGCAGTAGCCCTTAATAACTGAAGAATTACAACTTAAACGTGGAAGCAGTCCAAGTGTTCTGCGACCCGAAGGATTACTACATCAGCATTAAGTGCTTAAATTAAGTAAAAGCTTGAAATATTAATCAATTAAACGATGTACTATTTGATAATACTTAAGTTATGAGTAAAATAACCCTAGAACATTCTGTGCTCAAAAGTATAAATAATGTTGAGAATACCTTGACAACATTCGGTTGAAAGTGAATGTATAGTTTAACAATGCACGCATGAAACCTTCAATATAACGTATAAGAAAAACCTGATAGTAGGGTGTCTTCTTTCACAGCATTCCCATCTTCCTATCCAGAACGAGAATCATCATTGTAAATCTAGCTGCAAGTAAGCTAGGCGGTTAGCATACCAATGTTCTGTGTTCCCTCGATGAAACCGTTGAACTCCGGACGATATAACCCTCTGTGTACAACTGTTGAAATCCTGGGTCAACAACCCCCTGGGTGAAACTGTAGTCTAATCCTGGGCTAACAAGCCCCTGGGTGAAAATTGTCGACGAATCTTGGGCCAACAGGCCCCTGGGTGAAAATTGTCGACGAATCTTGGGCTAACAAGCCCCTGGGTGAAACTGTCGTCGAATCCTGGGTTAACAACCCCCTGGGTGAAACTGTCGAGGAATCTTGGGCTAACAGGCCCCTGGGTGAAACCCTTAAAATATTACAAAGAAAAATGTCAATACACATTGACTCAAGTATCCCGAACTATAGGATTACCCAAAAATGTACATAAACTAGAAAATATTCAGCATCTAGGATAAAGAAAAATTACATTGGCTCAACAGTGAGTCATAAACAGTATTATGAGCTCAAATAATTAATATTCTGTTACACCATGCCATAACATAAAAGAAATTGACAGCCACATGGTGCGTAACATAACCAAATATATACAAAACATACCTTTTTCGTAAAGGGTTAACTTGGTAGCCTTCCAAGGATGAGAAACACGTGAGATGATCCACAGCACAACAATATTCCACACTCCAAATGCTGTGATCTTCCGATTATTGCGTTAAAATCCTATATTAGATATGGGCTGGACCAATGACCATAGGAATTTACCAATACACTAAAATTCCTCTCAAAATACGAAATGTCCATTTACCCACAATTAACTATGAAGTAGAATCTAAAATCCCCTTTAACTAGGGTAAGCCGATGGGGCTAAATATTAAGAAAATTCTATTTCGACACAAAAATCGTCTTCAACGTGACTCAACACCCACTGACAGAAACAATCCGTCAGCCGTCCAAAATGGCCGAAATCCCTTTCCGATAAATGTCAAGTGGGTTCAGAAATTCATCCTCAAGAATTCCCCACTATATAACTTAAGAGACCATTTACGAAAGGTACCCTAAAAACTATATTTATATACAGTGTAACTACATTTGGGAAACTGTTCCCAACAAAAATTAATAAACAGCGATCGCAAAAAAATCCCTCGCGACTTAAAATCGCTCACTGTGAAACTACCTTACCTCGGGTTCTGAGCCCGATATTGGAACGTCCCACCAACATGACACTTGTCGGTGTTCTGTCGTCAAGTGACGTTTATGTCATTCACTGTCATAATTAATAAACATTAATCCAATTCTGACAGCTATAAACAAAAATAAAGAAAATCTTAAAGAATGGTATCGTAAATAATTAATTACCCAAAGGTGAGACTATAATACATAATATATATAAATTTACAACGAAACTTGGTCTATTTTTAGGAGAGTCTGGCAAATTAAAACAGTGAACACTACACCGCAAATATGACCAATGTACAAAGTATTATACTAGTGGTGAGATGGAATAAATTGTAATAATGATGTCCGAAAGTTAGAATATAGGTGAAATTAGTTAATGACAAAAATAATAGTGATATCATCAATACGATTTTACCCTTTTTTTCGTATGATTAACCAGGTAAGCCAAAACAATGTTATTAATTCGTGGGGCCAAAAATGAACGTTACAGATTTAGAATGAAGATATATTAGACGATCTTAAATAAAACATTTCTGCTCAGCTGTTCCACGCAAAAAAAATATAAATCAGCTACAAAATAGATTTTATAAAATTATATTACATGTTTACAGTTTCAATGTTTTAACTAACATAAATCTAATTATAAAAAAAATAAATCCTTGTTTTAATTTAATTAAACAATTTCATTTTGCCATAATATAGTCAAATATTCTTTATACCCTTCTATGTTATTTATTGCAATTTTCTTCTCTCTGTTCCTGCTTGATCACTTAAACCATTGAGTAAGGTGAATTTTCTATCTATTTCATTTTCAGGGTCAGCTCCCGTGCACTTATTTTGTAGTGCTTGTCTCAAAAAATTATGTAATGTATGTGTTATTATTTTTACTTTTTGTAGCCTTTACATTTAATAAAACTCGAAACCTATTGGCTAAAATTTCAAATGCATTTTTAACCACTCTTCGAGCTCTGCTCAAACAGTAGTTGAAAATTCTTTGTTCCTTGGTTATATTTCTTAATTGATAGGATTTTAAAATGTGTTCACTTAAAGGAAATGCGGTGTCGTCTACAATGACAATGGGTACTTTGTTCTATGGAGGGAAGATTTCTGTCTTCGAGAAAGTTAAGAGCATTTTTGTCGATGGCTTGGCTTAAATCACTCTTAAAAACTCTTAAAATTTCACCATCCGACATACGGCCATTTAAACCAACATTGATGTATAGAAAATTATATTAGAACAGGTAGCCCAATACTATGCCCACCCTTATAATTATATTACGTGGAACCTTCTTGAGATTGGGCTTTAATTAATATATGCTTTCCATCCAAAGCCCCTAGACAGTGTGGATAATTCTAGTGGTCTTCAAATTGCCTAGATATTTCTAACCATTCATTTGTATTTGGAACTTTACAAAAATAAAGAAATTTGTAATGTAATATTTATTAACGGAACAATACTCACCTTTAGGTAGTTTTCTTTAAGTTCCTCAAAAATTGCAATACACACTATTGGTATAAAATTTGATATTGCTGTAAGCGATACTCTATAATTATATTGCAATGATATAAAAGATTCCCCGGTAGCAAGATATCTTAGTGTAATGATAAGTTTTTCTTTCGCATAAATACATTCTCGCATATTGGTATTTTCTTTGGTAATTCTATGCTCATTCCTTTTAATAATTTAATAAAAGTGGCCTCATTCATACGGAGAAAACTTTTAAAGCTTTTGATATCACTATAATCCTTAAATTCATTAACAATATTTAAATTTCCAAGCCAACGTTTCACCCAATGTGCTTTTGGCTTTCTTTTCTTGCGATTTGTCCTATTTCTACTTACTAATACACTTGCAATTGCGCATATTAATAATAATAGAACAATTTGTGGAGGTGCCATTACGAAAAAATACAATTAACAATAAACAAAAAAAAGTG